AAAAAAGAAATGACTGGAAGACAGTAGTTGCCAATGACCAGTTGTTGCCACCCTCAAACCTAAGGGCAACCATATTCTTTTTCCTTCTTGCCTTCCATACCAGAAGAATGGTGCTCATTCTCTCGAGAGTAAAACCGATTCTCTTCAACCTTCTGTCAAGGCTGCCAGGCCTAAGTTTCAGCGGGCGAGCAGGGCAAGGCTACTTTCAGAAGTGAGTCCTTGTAAGCATGTTGTGCTTTTCTGGGCATTGACAAACGGTAACTGGCCAGGACACAATGAAGAACGATAAAAGCGAAGACCACGGGTGAGGGCCTTTAAGATTGTAGTTGTAACCTTCGGTGGCTTCTTCATGGAGATAAACACAAGCACAGGAGGCTCTGCGCAAGTCACACAGGCTGCACAACCAGCCTCTCGTAAGTGAGACCCACATGGAACCCACAATGAGAAGCGACTGTTGCCACAAAGTACAACACAATGTTGCGAACGTGTAGTACTGGGTGAAAAAGTCAGTCTGGATGAGAGTGTGTTTCTTAAAGGAAACAGAGCTGTAGTACATTTAATACATACTCACACATATATCCTTAAGTCAGACTAATAGGGTGGAGGGACTTGGGACCTACTTAAAAGACAGGGATTATTTGTAAGCCGCATAATATTGCATGAAATACATCTTCCTGAAATGCATAGAAATAAGAGGCTTTCTTAGTGTGTTTAAACGGTCTACTAGCAGTCTTGGTTACATAACGGCATTCCAAGTAAGATTCTGTTACAGTACACTTCGAAAGACGGATTCCTGGGTGGCAGAGCTGCTTGGTTTGGGCTCAGGTCATGATCTCGGGATCAAGCCCAGTGTCAAGCTCTGGACTTGGGGGGTGGAATCTGCTTGAGATTCTCTCTCTCCCTCTGCTCCTTCCACTAGTACACGCGTGCGCACTCTCTCTCTCTCTCTAATAAATAAATAAATACATAAATCTTTAATGGGTATATAATTCTTTGAAAGGAAAAAGTCAAAGCAGTCCTATATGAGTCGTCATAAATGTCAAGTTAGTAAAGTCTAAATTCTCACTATTTTGCTGACTTATGATCAGGACTCTCAAATTTGCCCTGGATCACCCAAGTAGGTAGGTCAGTCAGTCAACATCCTCCATCCACACATCTGGGAAGAACGTCCAACGGTATAATCCCACGGAAGGGCACTGGATCGAGATACTGAAAATGGGATTTAATGCAGAAAAGAGAATTTTCCCAAAGCTTTTATACTTTCCAGTCAGGCATTTTCTTCCTCCCAGAGCAGCAGCACTGTTAACAAACTGCTTCTAGAAGCTCCTGGAAAGATTTATAACTTTGGCTGGGAAAAAAAGCTGGAAATTTTCTTTCCCACTCCCCAACTGTATTTACAGGCTACTTACTGAAGCCCAGCAAAGTTCTCCCGCCCTGGACTGACAGCCTCCCTGTAGAGCTGACAGGTGGTGATGGATACAGCACCCCCCACCCCAGGGATTACTGAGGATCTGCGAGGCTGCTATGGCCGTGTCTTGGTGCTCGCAGGTGCAATCCTGTGGATTCCAGTTTCCTCCCAGATGCAGCAACGTTCTGAGAGGGACTCAGCTCTAGAATTCCAACCTAGCACCTCTTAGGTCAGTTTCTTCTCTGAGCAACACTGAAGAAGAAATGGATTTTTGGTATTTGAGGCTCATGTTTATGTTTGCACTAGTATCAGTTTGATTGACCCACAGTTATTAAACTGCGGTCTCTGATGAAACTTCTCTTCACCGTAACATGCCTGGTACTTCAGCTGAAGGTGATTAATTACACCCCAGAATAAAGTAATAACAGACTTCCCTATTTCGAATACATAATGGGAAGCTGTTGTTTTATTCTACTTATATAATAATGGACAGAGCAATACACCCTCCTTACCAGCAGATTTCAAGAAGCTGCATTTCTCTTTTTCCCTTCTCCAGTCAATTGCTATAAATGATAGGACACCATTATGTGATTAGCTGACAGCGACTGGCAACCTCTCCACTTGTTTTTAATTGGGGGCATTTCAGGCAACCACCCATAAAGGTGGATTTTGCGTAACTAATAACCTTCATAAATAAAATCGCAGCAAGATAGAAAACATTTGGATATAGTCACTGTGTTCCCACTTCACTAAAGACGGCAGACACTGAATTTAAGGTATATATACATAGCTAATTTGGAAAGCGTGAAACAGATGCCCTGGGGAGCACAACATTGCCAGAAGGACAACTTGGCCTCCACTTCCCAGCACCGCTTCCTGGTGTAGACTGACTCAGAGGTGGGACTCTGAGTTACCAGTTTCCATTACCATGGAAAGCAATGCAGGAGACTAAGTCTTTCACTTACCTGTCAAACTGAATTTAAGGGGAAAAAACTGCTCCTTAATAGCATAATGGGAAATGTAGTTATGGCCAAATGTCCCTCTCACAGCCTTAAGATAAAACATATACTTAATCTTCCTGAAAATAGTTTGGAGTCAGTCTCCAGAACACAGTTATTATTCTGGTAACTGGAATTAGGAGAACATGGGTGTATGGTATTGTGTGTAGCTATAGGACTCCGGAAAACTGTGCAAATATTTTCTACGAAGAAATAAACCCAGAGGCACCTGGCTGGCTCAGTCAGTTAAGCATCTGACTCTTGATCTCAGCTCAGGTCATGATCTCAGGGTGAGGAGACTAAGCCCCACGTCAGGCTCCGAGCTCAACACATAGTCTGCTTGAGATTCTCTCCCTCTCCCTCTATCCCACTCACTGCTGTGTGCTCTCTCTAAACTAAATAAATCTTTAAAACAAAAACACAGGGCACCTGGGAGGCTCAGTGGGTTAAAGCCTCTGCCTACCTCAGGTCATCATCCCAGGGTCCTGGGATCGAGCCCCACATCAGGCTCTCTGCTCAGTGGGGAGCCTGTTTCCTCCTCTTTCCCTCTGCCTGCCTCTCTGCCTGCTTGTGATCTCCATCTGTCAAATAAATAAATCAAATCTTAAGAAAATAAAAAAATAAAACAAACAAAAACAACAACAACAATTACAACAAAAGAAAAAAGACCACAAAACTGAAAATGATAAAACAATTTTTAGGTAGGCTCACTCCTTTTATATCATGTCAAGCTCCTTGGAATTAGATTTTTTTTAAAAGAAAAATATCAATAAAATTATTATTTAAACTAAGACTCCATTCTCACTTCACAACTCCATTTTCATCCAAGCACAATTCTATAGGAACCGGATGAGCTGAACTAGAACGTCCCGACGTAGCAGGCTCTTCTTGCTTTATAAAGATGTCAATATTATGGTGATTTCATGGAGAGAGTGCAAACAGCCCGAGCGCTCCACTCAGAGTGCAAATTTATTAATGTGTGCACTGGAATGAACAGGGGCTTGAGAATCAGATCTGAGCCTCTATTTGAGCTCTGCCACTATAGCTCCAGTGTGGCCTCCACCAAGTTCATTCCCACTTCTGAACTTCAGGTTCTTGTTTCTAAAACGGAAGCACGATTATGAACACCTAACTGGCAAGGTGGTCTTGAAAATTACTTACCAAGTATGTACAGTGCTTAGCTGCTCAATAAATAACAACTTTTATTCTCATAATGCTTATACCCTAATTTTGGCTAATACTACTGAGTTGTTAGGATCAAATTAAATAATTTCATGCACGTGCTTGGACAATTAAAGGTGCTGTAAGCCTCTCAGCTTCACTGGATCAAAGACAAGTTTTAAAGAGTTGTTTCAGCCCTTCATTTGTTTTGATCATCGAAGTCTGGTTCTCACGTAAGTACTATGTTCTCACCCAATGTTCCCACCTTCAAGGAACCTGCAGGCTAACAGGCAGGGGCTCTGGAGTAAGACAGTCGACTTCGAGCTCCCTTGGAGCCCGGCCACTTCCTAGCTGGGTTCCCTTGAGTAAGGAGCTTAACCTCCTAGGGGCCTTGACCGTCTCACCCCCAAAACACAAGTAATAATAACAGTACTCACCTCACCAGCATGGTGAAGGTTAAAGGAAATAGGCCGTGGAGATTTTGTAGCACCACGGCTGGCGGGCAGTAAGCACCCAGTGTGGGAGCTGTCCTCATCTAACTAGTGACAATACCAGATCGTACCTGCTGCGGATAAGCAAGCCATGTGGTACTCAGGTGACAGAGGCTTGCTGCTGCAAGCAATAGAGGTGGGAATCTTATCCCAGGGCTGTGTGACTACAAAGCTAGTAACGGACTCTTCAACAGGCTCAGTCTTCGGCTTTTTCTTTTCTTTGGTAACTTTTGTGTACTATTTTCCAAAGCACACAAATAGGAGAGAAAAACATCCTTCAAAAATGGTAGAGTGGGGGCACCTGGGTGGCTCAGTGGGTTAAGCCTCTGCCTTCGGCTCAGGTCATGATCTCAGGGTTCTGGGATCGAGCCCCGCATCGGGCTCTCTGCTCATCGGGGAGCCTGCTTCCTCCTCTCTCTCTGCCTGCCGCTCTGCCTGCAGCTCTGCCTGCCGCTCTGCCTGCCTCTCTGCCTACTTGTGATCTCTATCTGTCAAATAAATAAATAAAATCTTAAAAAAATACCCTCCCCTTTAAAAAAAAAATGGTAGAGTGAAACAAACAATATCCCTACCCCATGTGGAGAGCGTCCCCCAGGATCAGGATCCGCACCCAAGTGTTACAGGGATACAGCTGACGAAAACTACACTGGCCCATCATCATGCGAAGCCCATAGCTTAAGGGCCACTCTCGCTGTGGAATGTTCTAGGGGTTTGGACGAGTGTAGGATTACACGTATCCATTGTCATGGTGTCACACAGGTACTTCCACTGCCCTAAAAACCCTCTGTGCTCTATGCCTTGCACCCTTCCCCAGTGCCCTCCAGCCTAGGGCCACATGGCTATTTCTCCTGTGTTCATGGCCTTCCCTCCTCCGGACTGGGATACAGTTGGAATCCAGCAGCACTCCGCCTTTTCACATTGGCTCCTTATTATTAAGTGAACTTCATTATATGCATCTAAGGCTCCTCCATGTCTTTTCTTGGCTTGACAGCTCATTTCTTTTTAGTGCTGAATAATATTTCATTATAGGATGTAGCTCAGTTTCTTATCCATTCAATTAGAGAAAACCATCTTGCTTCCTTCAAGATTTGGCAATTACGAATAAAGCCGCTTATAAATAACCATGTGCAGATTTTTGAAAGCATAAGTTTCCTCCTGCTTTGGGTAAATACCAGGAAGTGCATTAATCATTATTTATTAATAAATACTTGAATATTCACAATGTCCTGATCAAAGTGCTAGTTTGCTGAGGATAGGATGATGAACAAGGTAGAAGGTATCCCTGGCTTCAGGGAGCTTATGTATCTGGGAGAAACAGACAAGAGAAAGAACATTACAAGATGGTGTGGCATGTGAGCTGACAGAAAAAATACCCAAGGCTAAGGGGGCAGCCTGCAGGAGGAACAGGGAAGTGAATACATAGAAGTCTTTATTTTTTTTTTAATTTTATCTATTTATAGGACAGACAGAGCACAAGCAGAGCAGAGGGAGAAGCAGGCTCCCCCGATGATCAGGGAGCCTGATATGGGATTCAATCACAAGACCCTGAGATCGTGGCCAGAGCAAAAGGCAGATGCTTAACTGACTGAGCCACCCAGGCGTCCCTAGAGAGAACTCTTTCGAAGACAAGAATATAGGTAATAAAATTGCTACCATTACCTCACCTTTGACCTTTTCTTAAAATCAAAATTTTCAGAAATATCCAGAAACTCAGGGCATTTGAGCACCAAACAGAAGGAAAATGTCCCCAGACTGAACTTAGCAGAACACATACATGCCGGGTAACATCATGGGTTCAAGGAAGAGCCCTTTATCCAAACAAACCTTTGTTTTCCCACCAAGTGCCAACCCTTTTTTTTTTTTTAAGTTTTTTTTTATTTATTTGAGAGAGAGAGAGTGAGAGAGAGCATGAGAGGGGAGAAGGTCAGATGGAGAAGCAGACTCCCCATGGAGCTGGGAGCCCGATGTGGGACTCGATCCCAGGACTCGGGGATCATGACCTGAGCCAAAGGCAGTCACTTAACCAACTGAGCTACCCAGGCACCCCAAGTGCCAACCTTTTTAAACATGGAGCAAAACTGCTTCTCTGACAGTTAAGGAAGAGACTTTTTTTTAAGGTTTTATTTGTTTATTTGAGAGACAGCATGAGAGAGAGAGAGAAAGAGATCACAAGCAGGCAGCAGGGGCAGAGGGAGAAGCTGGCTCCCCACTGAATAGGGAGCCTGACACAGGACTCGATTCCAGGACCCTGAAAGCATGACCTGAGCAGAAGGCAGATGCCTAACTGACTGTGCCACCCAGGTGCTCAAGGAAGAGAATTTAAAAGCAAATGGCTTTCTAAGGACAGACAGAGATCTGAGGCACAATAGGGCCTCAGTGACTGATAGCAGACCTTTCCAAAAGGTCGGTTTTGAGGAGGACAGAATAAGAGGGACTAGAAGGGAGAACAGAAAAGGAGGTAAACTGTCCACAGAATCTAAAGAATGGTGCCTACACCTGCAACCTGTCCAGAACCAGGTACATGTAATTAGCCTACAATTAGCATGGCAGAAACAATGCATTCTGAAAGGAGGGCAGAGACCGACTGAGGATGGCAGAGAAAAGGGAAAGAAGTTGCTTGACATTTCGAGCATTCTCCAAGCTGCTGCTAATCCAGGGGAGGCTAACGGTACTGCCCACCTAATCACAGAAGCAGACAGACAAAGAGCCCATGGGTGGCCCTGTGTGGTTTTTGGAGTTAGACTCGGGCTGTTACTCGTGAATCTGCACACAGGGATGACAGGGCTCGACAGAGGACAATCTGTTCAAGAATAATCAGATTCCCCTCACTTCTTGCCTTGGTGGCAGAAGCGCCCAATGTATTCACAGTAACTCATTTTGCTTCCATCTGAATCCATATGCTCGTCAATCAGATTAAAGCTGCAGCTGCGCGGCACATTCTTCACCGTAAACAAACCGCCTCAGCAAACCCTAAGGGAAAGGAGGGGATCCTGCTCTCTTAATTTCCCAAGCCTGGGAACGCTCGGATGATTTACTGCTGGGGAAAGGCCACAGCTCAGAGGATTTGTGGCAGGAGCTGCAGGTACAGCCCGGGGAGCAGCCCTCATTTACTGGGAGACTGAAGAGCGAGCTGGGAAAGAGCCCTGTGAAGAAGATGCCTTTATTACATGTTGAAAGCAAAGTGAACGAGGACGTGCTCGGTGCTTATAATTCTGCAGGACGATTTAGAAGCCGGGACAGACGGGTGGAGGAAAATGGAAGGGGAAGAAGAGAATAAAAATCTTACAAGTAGAGAGCACCTGCCATTCAACAAGCACAGTGCTGGGCACGTGGCAGAAACTCTCTCAAAGGAAAGGTTGCTTGGTGGCATCTGAAAGTGAAGCACAATCCTGACTCCCAGCCACCTCCGCACCCCGCCAACAACCTGCTGCGATCAGCCTTTTACTTGTGTAACCAGTAAGCTGACCATGCATCTATCACATGGGGGAGTTCCCACTCCCCCAGGACACTGCGGCAGAGTCCTACACCGCCTACCCAGCCAGCAGCATGTGGAGGATGGTTCTAGTGCTTTCGGGTGGGGAGCAAGGGAACCCTAACCTCCTGGCGGGTCCCAGAACAAACGCACCAGGTTAGCAATGCAGTGACCTTGACAGGGAGTCTGAGTAGAGTGGTGGCAACCAAGGGGCGATGAGGACAGTTTAAGAAAAAAATGGGAGGAACCAAAAACTGGAACCAAGGAGAGAAACACCTGCTTTGAGAAGTGCTTCTGTACAGGAAACTAGAGGATGAGGGCACTACCCGGTCGGGGATGTGGGGTTCGAAGGGGAATGGAAAATTGGCAAGGTTTGATTTAAAAAGATACCTTCTGCTGCATTTTCATCAAGTGATAAAAACACTTATTACTAAGAAGTATCCTGGAGTTCTGAACTGAAGCCCTTATTTTCTGCATTAGAGCTGAGACTATGGGGGGCGCCTGAATGGCTCAGATGGTTAAGCATCTGCCTTCAGCTCAGTCATGCTCCAGGGCCCTGGAAGAGAGCCTGTCATCTGGCTTCCTGGTCATCGGGGAGTCTTCTCCTTTTCTCTGCCCCTCTACCCTGTTGTGCTCTGTCTCTCTCAAATAAATAAATAAAATATTTAAAAAGGAAAAGAAAGGGGGACACCTGGGCAGCTCAATCGGTTAAGCAGCTACCTTCAGCCCAGGTCATGATTCCAGGGTCCTGGGACTGAGTCCTGCGTCAGGCTCCTTGCTCAGCAGGAGCTCTCTCCTCTCTCTAACAAAAATTTTAAAAAATAAAAAGAATAATAAAAAAGAAAGGAATGGAAAGGAGGAAGGAAAGAAAGAAGGAAAGAGAAAGAAAGAAAGAGACGAAGGAAAGAATGAAGGAGGGAGGGGAAGGAAGGATGGAAGGAGAGAGATGGAGAAAAAGAGAGAGAGAGAGAGAGGAAGGAAGGAAGGAAGGAAGGACGGACAAACTGAGACCAGAGAGGTTAAGTGACTTCTTGCCCAAAACACAGAGCTACGGAAGAACAGGACCAGATTCCGCATTCAGGATCCCTTGACACCACTGAGCCTCTACTCTGTCCGCCACCATCCCACGCCACATCTCTCTCTTTACTGCAACTGGTACCCAATTTTCACTGTGGTTTTGTTTTCATGAAGATCATTCAAAAGACTTTAAAAATAAAGGTATTAGATTAACTGGAAGGGATTTTTTTTTTCCTTTCAGAAAAGAAATTTTAACTATCTTCACCAACAAAGGGATTAAGTCTGCTCTGTGACAGAGCTGCATTAAAAATAATGAGACAGATAAAGAAAAGCTTTTTTTTTAAAATTTTAATGAATTCAAAAGCTGGAAGCATTATTGAGATGAACAATGTGTTCACTGCCCTAATCCAATATAATCATGTTTAAAAAATTATTCTGTTTAGGAACTTTCTGCTATATCAGACAAAATCCAAAATGTGCCAAGTAGAATATGAAAATTAACCTCAGGTCCTGAGTGCCGTCCAAATAAAGACCAACACCCTAAGGACTGTCTTTGAAAATACCACATATAAGATGCAAGGTTTTGTGAGATACAAAGATGTCCTTCTGTCTACAATTTAACCCAAAGATTTCTCTTATCCTTTAACCCATATCTTAAGAAATTCGTGATTCTACACATTTTTTTAAAGTACATTCTATGCCCAACATGAGGCTCGAACTCATGACCCTGAGATCAAGAGTCAAATACTCTATGGACAGAGCCAGCCAGGTGCCCCTAAACACAATTTTTTTTCCATCTGAATCAAGCACTCACTTCTGTGTATAAGGAAGCCCATTCAACCTCTCTCTTCTTTCTCAGCTGGAGTTATAAAAAAAGAAATTTAGTTTCTGACTCATCTCACTAGGTTTGATTCTAAAGAAAAAAACACCATAGCAACTTTTAGCATGAACACAAATTTGCTATACAAGTGTTTTAATCTTTTAAGTCTCAGAAGAAAACATTGGAATCTGTTCTTTCCCAAACAATTTGATTGAAAAGAAATAAATATTAGCCAAAGAAAGCACAACATATAGGACACCTATAATAATACTCTTTTCTTTCTCGAAATATATCACATTTCTTAGCTATTAGGTTCTCCCTCTTCTGACAAATCAAGTTTAGATATTAGTATTCAGGTAACTGTGGCAGCAAAAATGACTTTGGTGAAGCAAAGTAAATTGCATTTCACTCATTCTGAGGTTTTGTGTTTTTTTACTACTGCTCACTCACGCTGAACACATTATTTAGACAACAACAAAAATAAGCCACCAATGTCAGGTTCAGCTTTAATTTCAACAAGAGCACAGCAGTGGTTACAATTAAACCTGGAGGATGAACCAATTCATCTTCCTACAGGTTTGTGATTAAAACCACTTACTCCAAATTACTTAAAATCTGGTCCCAGCTATCATAAAATGATGATGCCATGTTCAATAATCCACAAAATTCCAATTAAAATCCAGTCCAGAATATGGAATGTCATTCGTGTAAAATTCTATATACCCCAAATTTGTAACAGAATATGGCATAAATTTCAAAATTAATACAAGTATTAAATGAATGAGTGAACTGGTAATTAAGTCTTTTATAATCAGGGGTCAACTACCTGGCTTGTCATTTTCTAGATTTCTAGATGATCATCTGACTGCCTACAGTCTGTTAATGCTGTTGTTCTGAGTGCTCATGGGAATAAGGGAAACAGACTGTCCCCATCTTCTAAGGAGGTCTACTAAGGTCTGAAGAAGCATTCATATCTACTGGTTATAACATGATTTA